TACCTTAGCGAAACAGTATAGGATTTATAGGAACCGATCAATGCAATCAAAAATGCAATTACACTAGTTCGTCACAAAAGGAGGAGGTGGCTTACAAATCAATCAATTATAAGGCCTTGCTCAATCTCGAAAGTGCATGACGCATGACGACACTAAGTAATTTGCTGTTCGGTAAGACCCCATGGGCGTGCAGATGATCAACAACAACCACAGGGTACAGTTGAACCAACAATCAATACGAAACTAACGATTTTAAATTGGCTCACTACTTGACTAGCCTATTGGTCCCAAGCAAACGATTAACGTACCTCATTCTAATCGAAATTCTAGTACTACGCAATGTTTGTTTTGATTCGCTATGAAAGTTTGACAGATAAAATGAGGGGTTATTAGTTTTCCCTATGTTTTGAGGGGTGAATCGATTAACTTGGGACCGAAGAGAGTACCAAAGCTGAGCCAAAAAGTTGTGCATGTTATTTCGGGACCTTCTAGTCTTAGAATTACCTCTATGGTTGAACTGCAGATGCGAAGTTTATCTGGATCGTGCACCATTTCCGAGGTATGACAGGTATGAAGTGGTATGACATTAGATGGTTTTCACTGGTGGTACATTGGCCATTGGTTTTGATTGGTGGTACCTTGTGGAAGGTATCACATCTGCCAAGGATCGTGAACTTGATAGGCTTGAACGTGTGTAATTGGGTGACGGTAGGAGACATCACAATCGGCGTTGCGTAGTTCTGAGTCGATCAGAACTGTTTCGAGAATGTTGTTTCTAGGGTAGGAGTGAACTTTCGTCCGTTCGAGTTCTGGGTTTGATTTGGTTAGGGAGCATTTTACTGGCAGCTGGTGAAAATGTCGTCCACCGTTCGTTTTTTGTGCTTCCAGTTCCTCTTCCACTGCAGAATCCGCTCTCAGTCTAATGAGAATGAAGCTTAATATTTGACATGAACATGGTCATGAATTAGATAAATTGAAAATGTAAACACAATCACAAAAGTCTAACTTCAGGGTTGCCAAACTCATGGGATATTGACACCTTGATTGATACACTTCGGCCTACTTCGGAATGATCGGCATAGCTTTCGGCACTGCCTAAACTCTTGGCACCAGGTGTGTAGAGTTGAATACCCCTTGTAATATTTTGATTTTTAACATTATTTTAAATTTTACTTGATATTTTTCCCAGAAAATAAAACATTATTTTCCTTTACAACTGTATCTCAGACGTCATTTCGATCAAAAGTGCCGTATCCGTCCTTCAATTTAAAATGTTTGCAAGATCCAAAATGACCGAATTTGAATGTGAATCATTGTCCACAACAAACAATTATGCAAAGTTTCATGCAAATCGGAGGAGGTCAAGTTTTTCCGATTCATCGTTTGCCGTGGAATATTTGAAAAAAAAAAAAATTAATGAAAACGATCCAAGTATATCAAAATAAAACAGTTGTTTTTAGTGAAATGATAATGAAACTTTCCCAGCAAACAGAGTGGTTGAATTAATGTCTCTAATGTCGCCCTAACATTAGACCCACCAAGGGGTAAGTCACTCAGCACATTGTGCTGAAATTAGATTCGGCACAGCTTGGGCACATTCATAAGCACACCTTCGGTACAATCTCGTAGGCATTAGGATGTTGTAAATAAAATGGGGCACTACTGGATAACTGTAATTGAAGTTGTTCACAGCATTACGTGCTGTTTTACTGTATATTGAGGAACATACTCTAATTGAATATACCAGAGGAACTCAGACCAGCAGTTCACTTATAGATCTAAATACGAAATGTAGGTTCTAGAGTGGGCTCAAGAGAATGAGGCAGTTATTCAGACTCCATCAGCACCCTTAATTCAAATAATGATGCAACTCACACAAAACAAACTACAGACGACATTTCATCATCCTCTATAGTCGGTCTACAACAATATTCTCGACCGGTTCCATCTCTTCCCGGCCACTGATAGACCGTTGCTTTTCACAGCACGATAGGCTAGGTTTCTGGTCTGCCTTTGAGGGCATTATAAAACCCTAAAAGACAGGACTTTTATCATCCTATGAACATAAAACGTCAACATTTCGCACACCCACCACTTCCCGCGTCATCCTCATTCCGATTTCAAACCAACACATTCAAGGTGTCAGAAATACCGGGTTGCCGGGATGGGTATTTTACAAACAATCGCAGCTTGCTCTAACCCCGGCACAATCGGCACAGCTGCGGCTCACTTGCGGCACACTGTCAAAAAAGATGACCCAAGATTGGTGTGCGGAGTGACCTAGCCCTTGGGACCCATACATAAGTTTCGAAGGTCAGCATTTTATGACAATTTCCCACTAGCAACCAAAAATAACCATTTGTACTGTCCAGATGACGCATTGTGCTAAGAAAAATTGAAGAACAGGCGATTTTTATCGATGGGCCCAATCTTTAGATGCATGGCCAACATTGGAACCATTTCCCCTATACCGGTTTTGAGTTATGATCGAAAAACTAACGGTCGATCACGTGCCAAAAACCGGAATTTTTTTAGATTTGAACCTGAAATTTCAAAATGAAAATTCACTGGTCATGAAAATCTATATTTCATCAAAATAAGTTGAAAACTGACAACTAATTTAACTTTTTTAGTCGGAAAATGCCAGGTAAGTAAGTGTTGACTGTATACACTCAATTCTGTTTTAACACGTGATTTAATTTTTACGATTTTGTTTTGACGTAGGATTACGTCTTTCGGCAGCATATTTGGGGTTCATTTAAAAAAACAGAATTAACCGCGTTACGGAAAGTGGTAAGGATTTGACCACTTATAAATCTGTCAATATCGGATGGATTTTAATTCTAAACAAGCCAATCGATTGGAAAGTTTTCTACGAATCTGCTGAAAAGGAATATTTTATCAATTTTTAATAGGTCACTAGGTGATCAAAATTATCACCGATTGCCTACAAAAAAGTGGTTTCCCAAACACAGTCGCCGAATATTGATACCGAGCACGTAATCCTAAGCAATTCTACTGTCGTGTCTTTGATTTTTGTCGAAACAAGTTTCTCAAAATTTTTTTGCAATTCGAGATCACACAATCAAAACTACGGATGCGTAGGCGTTTTATAACAAAAAATTTATAAGCGGGCTAATGAGAACCTAATTATTCACAAACAACTTATACTTTTTCAAGAGCTAACTGTAACTGCAGCACTTTCAAACAGTTCCAAATTCTTTACAAATTACCTTCACGTAATTTATTAACTAACTTTCATAGTGCTTCAGTTTGAAATTCAAGACCCCTCCTATATGAACCACACACATTAAAAAAAAATACCTTCGCTAATCACCGCACCATAATTCCCCTTTTTTCCCTCGATCTCCCGTTGCCGGCTTTTCCTCCCAGTCCAAGAGTGAAAACGCTAACCTGGCGTACGTGCCGGTGTGTGTGTGTGCGTGCATTTTGTGCCGTACCCCTTCATGGCTGGCAGTAGCGATCCACACCGGAAAAACGGGCTGCAAATGGGGGAGCCAAAGCCAAGAGATCGCGAGAGACACTCTGCCATCGCCCCACGGACGGACGGTGAAACAACAACGCCAGGAAAGCGAATTATGTGTATTATGAACACACGATTTGTGAAAAAAAAAAATCACTTCTCCCCATGCCCCGTGGTGTAACAGCACCACAATGGAGAAGAAGGTGTACGGTGGAAAAGGCAAAAAACGACGACGACGACGACGCGGCGCGCAGCGCAGAATGTTGTAGAGTGGATTGGCTCTGGACCTTGAACTTGTGGCTGACCTGTTGATTCATCCACCATCAGCGGCGAGCAACAAGAACCGAGCGATCACCATTCCACCTCCACCACCACTGGTCTATTCGCCGATCGTCGTAGCAGGCGGCGAGCAATAAAGGAAAGGATCGCGCTTCTTTTGTTGCGCTTGCTGAGGCTCATACATTGTTTTTTTGTTTCTTGACAGTAACATTTTACGATCGTCATAGCAATAAGCCGACCAGTAGTTATTAGTCCGAATTTGTTAGCAATAGTTAGCAACCACAAAATGTAACATTTACTAGACCTTTCTACGCGGCTCGCGTGTACATGACATTCAACGGCTGCCTTTGTACAGCCATATGCAAATTTCAGACCACATCACACTCTCGTCTACTCTGCCGTTCGGAAATGGCTTCCTTCTTCAGGTTACTGCTGCTGGACGATCCTCCCGTGCGAATTCCTCCGTTGCGTTGTGATATCTTCCATTCTTCAGCGTCGAATCCCCAAAAGTGTCCCGATTCGTCGCACTTTTCCACCCAAATACAACTGGAAACACTCGAAAATATTCCTCTGAATCCAAGAAAGCACTCATCACTGTTTTATTTTATTTCAAAGTTGCTGGAGTGGATCTTTTTTTTTTGTAAGACCTGTACACGCCGTAGCGGAGAGCAAGTACCGAAAACGCACCAAGCGGAACGAGCGAAGCGAACGAGACTGACTACGGACGACGGCGACGAAGGCTTCGACGGTGGCCAACCTGCGCGAGAGAGAACTCGATGGGTACTCCTCCACGCTTCTACGCTTACTACGATGGACTTCAGTTCAGGTGAGTCGGCTGAGCTCGGCTAAAATGGCGCTGCCTACCTGAACCGCGCAGGTAAGCGAATCTGCCCATTTCCCACTCTCTCACAACCCATACAAGTGGGCGGCGAGATCGAAGTATGCGTAGGAGACTTAACGGTAACAAAACATAAGTTGAGAAGAGACTTAAAAGACGATCTTTAAAGTAAGTGTGTGTGTGCTGTTATTGAACTGCACGACAGCAGCGCCAGGATAACTAGGACACAAAAGTCCGTTGGTAAAAATTGCGCGCGACAGACACACTTGTTACAGTCGGATCGTGAGGTCCGCCGCGCGCATTCTTATGCTATATTTATGACTGTGTGAAAGGACCTGTTGAGCCCTATAGTACCTATATACTTTATTATAACCCAGTTGATGATGTTTTCATACGTACAGGTGTAGTACTCCAGGATGTTTTGCTTACAATTGAATGAATTGTAATGCATGGTCTGCAGCTGGAAAAGAAGAGGGTAAAAACGTTGCGGTTTGTTCTATTCAAGCTACGGTGGGAAATGGGGGAATGTATTTCAGAACCTCATCGTCGTTGTCGTCGTCGTTGGCGAGCACAGGGACGTTGTAATCGGATATTCCTTCAATGCTGCGCGGTGTCGTTGACTTTCGTCGGCTTGGAGGGAAAGGTGGATTGCTAAACGAATGCGTTCGGAGCGTTTAAAGGGACTTGACACCGTGTTGATTCCTCTTGTGCAAGGTGCGATGGTTGAACGGTGGTTTTGGTTACAGGAAGAAACAAACATGATTTTGTCATTCAGAGCCATTTGAGACAAACATTTTCCGTTTTGGAACGTTTATTCTGGAAGTTCGTCGCTTGTTGCTTCATAGAGACATCATTCTGATACAGGGCTAATTAATCTTTAACCATTTTAGAGGTTTATTTTAAAGAATTGCTTACAGCTTTTGATAAAACTCGGCTAGAGAAGTGCAAAACAGGCTTGCAATTGCTCATTACAGCTGAAATTCGAAATTATTAAACTATTAAATATATATGTGCAGTGACGGCATGATCATTAGCAAATTGATAGTAGTAGTAGTAAAATTTACGTTTATTTGCTGATTTTATGTTTCAACAATGGTTTACCATTTCAATTGGTTAGCCTTTGGCTCTTCATCTTTGTTCTAGTTAATTGGTTATTCTAATGTGATGATTGTTTTTAGCGCTAATTTCGGGGTTGGTTTCGTATGAATTTAAAAATTTGATAACCTACCTACTTAATCTAAAGCTTTTTTTTTTAATAATCCATTTATTTGTCAAGGCTCAAATGCGTTAGCTTTGCGGAGCCGAATATTTTTTACATTATTGTGTGTGAATATCATTTTCTTACAACTAATGTTAGTAGAACGGAGGCCGATTACTCGCGGTTTACTCGAGATTAGGGATTACATTTATTGATCATTTGGAGGGAGGACAAGGGAAAGCATTTTGAACTAATTGTAGCAGTTTGAGTTGTCCAAACGTACAGTAATGAGCCCGTTGGGCAGATGCTCAACAGTTAAAGCGTTTTCCGTTATACGTGCCACAGCGGAAGTAGCAAAAACAGAAGACGCAATTAAAAGAACATTCGAGATACGACAGTCGAACAGTAAATACATAGAAGTTATTTTCTCCAGATAAAACGTGTTCGTGCGAGATCCGAAAAATCAGTACAATTTATTCAGAAGTGGGATCTGGCCTGATCGGATTGGCCTTTCGTAAAGCGTGGCAATCCTGAAGTGTTCGAAATTATCCGCACCGAAGTATCGAGATTGTGGATGTCGAAAACCGAGATTCGAGCGTCAAGCGAATCCAGTGGGAGTGCTTCGAGCCAGCGTTGACCAGCGAAAACGAGTGGCATAACTTTAGCCCCATCCGGAGACAGCGATTTTGGATCCTCCAGCGAGCGAGTGAAGATGCCGAGACGAAAGGGAGGCCGTAAGTCTCAGGGACCCGATGAGGATGCCGACGACCAGGAAGAAGAAGAGGAAGAAACGAAGGATGATGTAAAAATGAGTGCCGGTGGTGGAGAGCGACATTTCCATCCGGAGGAACTTAAGCAGCTCATTGTTCAAGGAGGGAAGCGGTGTATTGGATTGGCTTCAGACAATCGATCACTATCGAGAGCTGTATGCGTGGACGTCAAATTCGACATTGTTGTATGCATCCTGTCGACTTGGCGGAGCAGCGTACCAGTGGTATCTTGGTGTCCGGCAGTGTATTCGAACGTGGGAAAATTTCAAGGCCAGCATCTGTATTGCTTTTCCGGAGTATGAAGACGAAGCGGACGTTCATCGGAAGCTGGCAAAATGCGTGAAGGATGGCAAAGAGTCTTACGATAATTATGTTTTTCGGATGAATGCCATCGGACAGAAGGGGAAATTGAGCAGTTCGGCGATCATTAAGTACGTGATTAGCGGATTGTCATACGATCCGTTGTACAACAGTGTGGTAACCCGGCGCTACGAGAGTATATATGAGCTACTCGAACACATTCGTTACTGCGAGTCGAACCAGGAGATGTGCAAGCGTCGAAATTATGCTGTCAGATTGAACGTTCCAAAAGCCAGTGTGATGAATCTGGGTAGCAGGAAGCAGCATGAAGAGAACCGAACAAATGGGGATGCCGACCCAAGTAACCACCAAGCCCGCTAACTACCCGATAATCGCCCTTTTTGCGATATAAGGTAAATATAGGGTTATATCAGTCGTATATCAGCCTTATATTGCAAAAAGGGCGATTAGCGGGCTTGTTGGTTACTTGGGGAAGTACTACCGAAACGAAATACGAAGGACGAGTGTTTCAACTGCCATGGTTCCGGACATATCTCGATAAATTGTCCGCAGCCACAGCGTCGTCCCCGTTGCCCCGTGTGCAATAAAGTGGGTCATGGTGAGGAAACCTGTTTCAAGCGGAGAAACGAATCAAATTCAAGGCAAGCTAGCGGTGAAGCAGCTGATCCGAAGCCATCAGTGAGCGGAAACACGTCAGCGTACCCAATCGTGAACGACGAGGAAGGTAATGGAAGATTTTTGGAGGTTAGTGGTCAATCGCTGCTCTCAGTTGACGTCATCATAGAAGACAAGGCACAGACGATTGAGACTCTGGCTGATTCTGGATGCCCGGTGAGTCTAATTAAGAGATGTTGTTTTCAAAATTCACAGTTCTACAGTAAGCAAAGTAACGATGATCTAGTAGGGGCGAATAATTCTCAAATCAATATAGTAGGGTCATACGCTACCAAAGCGATAATTCGATCAGATGTTTACGTAGCTAATCTAACAGTGGTCGCTGATAGTACGATGAAAATGGACATGATATTGGGTCGAAAATTCTTCGAGGAGAACGATATTCGCGGTATAATTTTTGCAGATTCTTTGTTCGTGGACGAAAAATATGACCTCGAAGTGGGTGACACAAATGAAACTAGATTGTTAAGTGGTACTGTATATAAACTTTTTGAAACTGAGTACTTGTCTCGTCAAAAACCGGTCGAACCATTAGCTAAATATTGCGTTGAGATAAAGCTCAAAGATAATCGATATTTCAATTCAACTCCTCAGCGTCTAAGCGAGTTTGAACGGAAGGAGCAGAATAAGATCGTTGATGATTTGCTGTCGAAGGGAATCATTCGTGAAAGTGAATCGCCTTATTCGAGTCGGGTTGTGTTAACGCGTAAAAAGAACGGAGAGTATCGTCTCTGTGTAAACTATCAACCTTTAAACAAGCTTGTTGAACGTAACCATTATCCGCTTCCGATAATTGAGGATCAAATTAGTAAGCTTCAGGGGCGAAAGTATTTTACATCGCTTGATATGAAAAATGGATTCTATCATGTCGATATCGCGGAAGACTCAAAAAAGTATACGTCATTCATAACCGAAAGTGGTCAGTATGAGTTTAATAAGCTACCGTTTGGCTACGCAAACTCGCCCGCCATATTTTCACGATATGTAGCGAAAGTTTTAGATGAGTTTGTAAAGAGCGGCGAGATCGTAGTGTTTATCGATGACATTTTAGTTAGTACGGTCAATGTAGAACAGCACTTGGATTTACTGAAGAGGCTTTTTCGAGTATTAGCTGATAATCACATTCAGTTGAACGTTAAGAAGTGTTCGTTCTTGAAGACAAATATTGTGTTTCTCGGTTACGAAGTGACATTTAATCAAATAAGGCCGTTGTAATTATCATCTTGAGAACGTTGAAAAGTTTCCGGTTCCTACGAATGAGAAAGCGTTACAAAGGTTCCTTGGTTTGATGAGTTATTTTCGGAAATTTATTTATCGGTACAACCATATCGCGAATCCATTGTACGAATTGATGAACAATCATGAAAAGAATTTTAAGTTTGAGTCACGACATTTCGAAGCATTTGAGAAGCTGAAAGAGGCTTTGATATCGAAACCCGTATTAAGCATCTATTCGCCAGCGTTAGAAACACAGCTGCATACGGACGCGTCAGCTAGCGGTTTCGGCGGAATACTGATGCAGCGACAAGCGTACGATAACCTGTTCCATCCGGTTATGTTCTATTCGTGTAAGACGACAGCGGCTGAGTCGGTTTTTACATTCGTTCGAACTTGAGACATTGGCAATCGTGTACAGTGTTAAACGGTTCCGCGTTTACCTATTCGGAATATTTAAGTTTCAAAATCATAACGGACTGCAATTCGTTGAAAGCGACGCTATCAAAAAAAGATGTGAACTCTAAGATTGCGCGTTGGGCATTATTCTTAGATCAATTCGATTTTGAGATTGAGCATAGAGCCGGTATGAAAATGCAGCATGTAGATGCATTATCGCGAATGCATTGCTATGCTGTTGATGGGAAATCCAGTTCCATTTTTGAAAATACTGTTTAAGTAAATCAGATTCGAGATTCGACCGTTGTCAGGACCGTCCTAGTGCCAGCGTGGGACTCTAAACAGAGCTGTGCACGATGGTCCCCCGGCGAGACAGGGGGTTGGGGCAGGCCCAACAAGCCGCCCTGGAAAAAAACATAAAGTTGCAAATACTGAAGTAAGAAATACGGATCGGAACAATCGGCACAGACCTACGCGACGAAATAAGGACTACGATTGGAAACTCGGAACATGGAACTGAAAATCGCTCGGCTTCCCGGGTTGCGATAGGTTAATCTATGACGAACTTCAACCACGCAACTTCGAAGTCGTAGCACTGCAGGAACTTTGCTGGACGGGACAAAAGGTATGGAAAAGCGGGCATCGAGCGGCTACTTTCTACCAGAGCTGTGGCAGCACCAACGAGCTGGGAACCGGCTTTGTAGTGCTGGGTAAGATGCGCCAACGCGTGATTGGTTGGCAGCCGATCAACGCGAGGATGTGCAAGTTGAGGATTAAGGGCCGTTTCTTCAACTACAGCATCATCAACGTGCACTGCCCACACGAAGGGAGACCCGACGACGAGAAAGAAGCGTTCTATGCGCAGCTGGAGCAGGTGTACGA